GTGGATGGGAGCAAAAGGGAAAAAAATGAAATTGGGGCAACTGTAATAGAATAAACAATAAAAATACTGATTCCCAGGTTAGGTTCCTGAGAATCAGAATAAAGCCTCAAAATCATTCCATATCTTGTGTTTGAGAGCTATAGGAGAACTCTAGATGCTGCAAAATCTCAGGTGTGGTTATTTTTCTTTAAAATTCAAACAGTCCTTTACATTTCCATTCAATTCTTTTACATTTAAACCACAGGAGTTATGGGAATTTTCACATAGCCAAGATTACAGTCAGTACTATTTTAGTTAACACCTTTAACTTGCTAAACATCAGTATCTGTGTATCTGTTACACCCCCAATATAAAGGATAATTGTAAACAGAAAGCTAGCATGGACATGGTGTGTCTTTAGAGCAGCTGCAAACAGTATTTTCAGGCTATTCTCATCATTTTGAACATGCATTTATTGTTCTGTAGAAGGAACAAAATGTTTGTCATAACAACCATGGCAACCCTGAGTGTCTGGCCTATTAGCTGTGATTCGAGGAGCATCTTCAACAGCAGGGAAAGAGTCCTTGGTGGCTGTCACCTAGACAGAGAGTGTGCGTCCATTTAAGATCTTAGGCTGAAAGTCCTGGGCATAGATAATTCTTAATGAGTGCTAACAGTAACAATTCCATTTATTTAATTTCAGGGGAATTAATAAACTAAGGTTTTTACTGTGGGCAAAATTGAGATGTGATTTCTAATGACGAATTTGAAGAAACCTTTATTTTAGCATTAACTCTCCTTTTTTGTTTGTTTTTTTTGGTCAGACTTTTGTTATTTTATTCTTTCCAGGTGGTGAGGTAAATTCCTTGTCATTTTTTTTTGTTTAATCCTCAACATTATTCTTAGTATACATGCATATGATATGAATAATTAGAATAAATGAAGGAAAAATTCTGAAGCATTACTAAGACTAGTTGTAGATTGTTGGAAGTAAAGGAGAAATAAAGTTTGAGAATTTTAATTTCAAAAATAGTAATGGCCTTACAAAAAGTCATAAGCCTTATGTCATACCACCAGCTGTCAAATTGTTACATATACTCTTTATGCAGTAATCTATATAAATGTGACTAATGAGATAGTTTATAAGCTAAAGACATTCTGATAATACAAAATATGTTACATGCCAAAAACATAAAAGTCACTTAGAAGGAACACTTTCACTCATTGAATTCACCAAACAGATTTTTTTCTAACACTTAAAAATAGTATTGCTGCCCTGGCTGGCGTAGCTCAGTGGACTGAGTGCGGGCTGGGAACCAAAGTGTCCCACGTTCGATTCCCAGCCAGGGTACATTACTGGGTTGCAGGCCATAACCCCCAGCAACCGCACATTGATGTTTCTCTCTCTCTCTCTCTCTCTCTCTCTCTCTCTCTCTCTCTCTCTCTCTCTCCCTTCCCTCTCTAAAATAAATAAATAAAATCTTTAAAAAAATAGTATTGCTATTATGTAGCTTATACAACTTTGCTTTTTTTCTTCACTAAAAAAAAAAAGAAGCCTCCTGAGATGGAAAGATGATATGGAAATAAAGTAGGTTCAGGGTAATTTTAGATTTTGTGCAAATGCAAAATCTTCTTCTTAAACCTCCATGTCAGTTTTGAGAAATTGGGGGTATGGATTGGAGATTGTGCACATGGAGCTGAAGAGAAAGCTGAGTGATAAAAATGTACTTGTGGATATGACTCCTCAAATGCCTCCTCCTATTGCCTTTCCTGCTTATTCATTTACTAGGTTTTTACAATAGAAATCTTTGTTTGTTTGTTTGTTTGTTTGTTTGTTTAAGTAGTCTCAAATAGCTATAGTTGAATCCTAAATGCCAGGTATTCTAAACTTCTGGACCTCAGGTTCCTCAAGTATATTATGAGAATTATGCTGTTTACTTCACAAAGTATTATGATCTATGTATTAAGATCGGCTAACCCTGCAGTATCAATAGGTTCCAGTGTGCAATGGCTTAAACACAACAGTTTGGACTTTGTTCTCATTCATGTTATAGTTTAAGCAGGTGTTCAAGCAGGGAGATGCTTCTATCCATACTGATGCAAGATTGCAGGATCATTCCATTCTGTGGTTATGCCATCAGCTAGGACCCTGTTGTCAACTGCATCCATCAGAAGTCGAAGGGAAAGCAGACAGCAAAGAGACCTGATGGCCTGTATGTGGCACACCTTTTTCTTCTTTTTTTAAGAATTAATTTTATTGGAGTGACATTGATTCATTTGATCATATATGTTTCAGGTGTACATTTCCATGACACATGACCTGTGTATTGCATTGTGTGCCTACCACCTAAAATCAAGTCATCTTTCACCACTATATACTTGTCTCCCTTTACCTTTTACTGCCCCTACCCCTTCCCTCCAGTAACCACCATGCTGTTGTCTGTTTGTGTATATGAGATTAAGTTTATACCCCACATATAAGTAAAATAATATGGGTCTTAGTTATGGGTCTTAGTTTTTTCTCACTGATTTATTTCATTTAGCATAATATTTTCAAGATCCATTTATGTCATCCCAAATGGCAGTGTTTCATCTTTTCTTATGGCTGGGTAGTATTCCATTAATATGCCATTGTATATATGTACCACAACTTTACTCACTCTTCTTCTTTTTTTTAAATTTTGTTATTGTTGTCCAAGTACAGTTGTCTCCATTTTACCCCCACCACTCCCCCACCCCAGCAATTCCCAATTGGTACCCTTGATCCTACCCCAAGGATCTTTGGTTTTGTCCATGTGTCCTTTATAGATGTTCCCAAAAACCCTTCCCCCTTCACTCTTCTATTGTTTGTTTTATGAAAACACTTTGGTTGTCTTCAACCAAAACAAAAGGTCACAAATCTATAAGAAAGATCATCAGCAAACTTACAGCATAAACAGGGATAATTTTTAACAACAAAACATAAAAGGGGAGGGGAAAATTCTCAGTTTGTAAAGGAGGATAGAGATTAGATTCATTGAAAAGACAAAAGACTACTGCATATATGAAACTTTCTTTTTCATAAACATAATGATAACCACACCCAAAAATTTCAAAACTGAAGCATATAACAGAAAAAGAGGAAACAGAAGAAGTAAAAAATACCACTAAACAAAAACAACAGACAGAAACACAAAATTAAAGAGCCAGTGGAGCCACAGATGTACCAGAAAACAAAAGATAAAATGGCTATAGAAATTTCTCATACATCAATAACTACCGTAAATGTAAATGAACTGGATTCACCAATAAGGAGCCACAGAGTGGCACATCTTTTTCCAACTCACATTTTTTTCAGAGAGAACCTGTCTATGTAACCATATCTCTAATTGTTGGAGTGCTTAAACATGAAATTAAGGCATACACACTGCAGTCCTACTACTACAAAAGAGGAAATAATAGATATTGGTTAATTTCAGTGATATCTGCCACTGCATTCATGTCCTATAAAATACTCAATACCTACAACAGGTATTGAGCACATTCTTTCTATTTCTTTCCCTGGATTTGAATCTTTTCAGGGAAGTGAAAAACATTTTATCAAAGCAAAATGATCAATAGTACTAACTATTTATTGAGAGAAAACCAATGTATAATTGTAGGATAACTTTTATGGTCAGAATAGGGTCTGCCTCATGCTCTCCATCTCTTTTGTCCACATGTCCACTCCCATAAGATGAGAGGCTCTCTCTGCAGTAGGGAGCTGGGACACAAGAGTTCTTAGTTATCAAGGAGAAGTCCAATTGACTCCTCCAAAGACAGCACAAAAGTAGACTGTGGCATCACTAAAATGGTTTTAAATTACATAGCTTGAAATAAAATGGAATTTAATTGCTGATCCCCTCTAAATAGTCAGTTAATTCCTGGACCTGATGCCCAGTTTCAGGGCCTTCGGGGCCTGTTTTCATCCCATCCCTACTCATGGCACCAGAAATTTTGCGGCAGCTCCAGCTGAAGGTCCAGAAATTTTGTGAACTCTGTGATCAATACAAATTAATGTTAAATTGTTTATTCCTATGTGAGAAAAAGACAGAAGAGTAGACCATGAGTCATCCGACTAAGTAAGAGCTAATGTTGATCTCCTGCAAAGTTCCAGTGTGTCAAATATCGAAATTCTAAGCCCAAAGGCTTTTGTTACATATTGGAATGTCCCTGTGCATCAAGTACATTGAATCACACGCAGACCCAGAAATGTGGCATTTTTTTCACTTCTCTCTGAGATTTGCATATGTTGTTACTTTGACCCTAGTTGATCTCTCATGTTTTCTTGATTCTACCTTGTCTGTCTGTAAAATAGACATACTTGTTTCAGGTTTTAGCTCCATCATCATTGTATTTAGGTATTCTTAATCACCTACTGAGTCATTCTGTCTTCTGTGCTCCTATTGTACCTTCTGTATACCTCTTGTAACACTTCCTTACATATCACTTTACACATTTTTTGTATGTCTCTTTCTTCAGCACCCAGCATGCTTTTGGTACTCAATAAACATCTGTTGAATGAATGATGAATGAATACTAACCTCTCAAAGGCATAGTCAGTGATCTTTCATCTCTGTATCTACAGCAAAATACTGATTTCCAAATAGAACATGTTTGGAGTGAGATGAGCAGAGAAAAGAGAAAAAGGGAGGAAAGAAAAGAAGAAAAGAAAGAAGGAGATATTAATGAGGCAGAGAATAGAAGACATGTTAAAAATTAAGGTTGTAAAAAAATTCACTAGGAATCCAGAGGATGGAAACTGTAATGACTAAGGAAAGAGAAAGAATAATAAAGGAAACAGCATTTGAGATGAATGTTAAACCATGAAAGCAAATTAAATGGAGAGGTTGACAGTTGGACTAAGAAATTACCAGGTGCTTAAGAGCAGAGCCAGAGTATATTTGGGGTAATGACTTCTTAGTTGAACACTGTTTCATTTCTTTTTGGGAATTAAAGTCATGACTGTGTAAGATGTTGCTACAACTCTGATCCTCCCTCAGGAGCTGGTGGTTGGTCCCCAGAGGACTCCAATGCTCAGCAGTGGCTCCAGATGGACCTGGGAAGCAAAGTGGAGATCACAGCAGTGGCTACACAGGGACGATATGGAAGCTCTGACTGGGTGACGAGTTACAGTCTCATGTTCAGTGACACAGGGCACAACTGGAAACAGTACCAGCAAGAAGACAACATCTGGGTAGGACTTGTTTTCTCTTTATATAAATAATACTGAGATGTGATAATGGTGACTAGTGAACTTCTGCTGTTTTCCTGTACCCAGATTGCGGGTAGCTTAATAGCTGATGAGTACTCATTCAGACATACTTAGGCCATATATAAGTCCTATCTTCATCCAGCACGGCTCTAGTTCCTGGGGAAATTAAGAGGCCTGTTGCTAAAGTTCAGTGTTTTCCTGCTTTTCTGGTAACTTGGCTAATTTGCTGACAGGAACTCAGTTCTTTCATCTACAAAAACAGAAGTACACCAGGAAAGTCTGGTTATTAATGAGAATGTATTAATTTACTGAGTATTAATTTATTTATATAGTTATTGGTTTATTATATGCTAGGTACTTCACAGACCTTGTAATGACCCAATTAACTCAGTTATGTGGCTTGACTAAAGTTGCACAATTTGTAAATCTTGGCATGGTAATTTGTAATCTGGTCTAACATTAATGCCAGTGAGTCTAACAGACTTTATCCAAGATTTGGAAACAATGAAAAGGGTTAAAAATATAAAACAAAAATAAAATTTAGAATTAGCCTGTATTTATGAAGAATCTTCAGGTTGGAAGTAAGGAACAGTTTGCTACAATTTAAATAAAAAAACTTCCCTTCCCCACCCCAACCCAAACTCTGGGTAATTCCCCAACCATAAGGTGAGCAAAGAGAGGTGGGGGCAGAGCAAGGGGCACTGGAGAAGGGATGGATACTCATGCAATGAACAAAATGCCTGTTAGTTTATATAACTTTTAATTTAGCAAAAAATTCACTAAAATGTGTATTGTTTTCTAAATATACATAAAATGTGAATAATTGGCAATCGATAGCATAATATTTCTTTTTAATAATCTCCTTAGTTCCTTCCCTTTGTTTGGCACATGTATTTTTTAACTGGGAAAATATATTCTTTATTCATTGTTATTTCTTGTTTGCCTACCCTTCACTATTTTTAATTGAAATAAAGGTATATTAAGGATTAAGATTAGTTATGACAGACTGAATTTGAGCATATTATCTGTCACTAGTAATATTAGATTGTAATGCTCATAGATGACATGTGTTTCTTCATTTTTAAAAATGAACTTTTGAAGACTATTCTACTTTTTTCTTAATTTTGAAGCCCCCATACATTTTTACAGGCTTTAGTTTTTAGTTTGAAATAAGAATTAAGCACACTTTCCATTTTGAGGGACAATTTTAAGGATTTATGTTGAATTTAGAGGGACAAATAGATGTGGGACTATTTATTTTCTTTGGTGTTGTCAATCAGAATTGGCTGTTTTTCATATTGAATTGTGTTTTTGAGATATTTTATCTAATTTCTTAAAACCACAAGTTTCATATTCTTTAGAACCAAATGATCTGCTCTCTATCAGCCTGTGCTCTGTATCAGGATGCAGTTTAAGCACAAACAATTCCTCTGGGCATGTGAACTGTTACCATTAGGTTCATTCCAGTCCTTTGTCTGTATTGGTTTACCTGTGTTTCCAAATAACTGCAAGCCTCTTAAAGAGAGAGACCTGTCTTGGAGGCCTTTTCAGTCTCTGTGCTTATTGTTGCTGGACACATAGCAAGAACTAATCATTAGATGGTTGTTTAAAGAACTGCAGAATTACTAGGACTTCTAGAGTTGGAGGGGAGGAGACTATTTTCATCTCTTACCCTCATAACAGCCCAGCCTACAGCCTTCACATTTCTGGGGATGCAAAGACGCTGGGTGGACCGAAAAGAAAAGGCAGGAAACCATGTGTGTAGCAAGGTGGTAATTCCAGATATGGCTTTTCCAGAGACACTTAAAATGTTGCAGAACACTTAGGAGAGGTAGTAGCTTCAGGGTCAATCTGTCAGGTGCAACCAGTGGGAGGGGAAGCGACTTGTGGAGGGATCATCACAAATTCTAATTGAAAGAATCAAATACAATAACATTGGGCACAAACACCATGATATGTTATACTCAGTAACCAGACTCAAATTTGAAAAAATGTACATCCAAATATATAAATATTGAGAAAACTAACAGCTACTGAACACCAATTACACATGGTATGTGTGTATAAACAAACATATATAATATTATATATGTATATGTAAGCAAACATATATGTGATATTATATATACATATATGTGAATGTGTGTGTGTATAATATTCTTATAAAGTCTGAAGATTCTGTATTAACATCTCCATAAATGAGAGCCTGGAGACTCATAGTGACCCATCCAAGAACCAGAAACTGGTAGAGCCAGAATACAAAATGTGGACATAGTCCTAAGTATACCTGATTGTAAAATTGTACTTTTACTTCTCCTTCACTACACATGATTTAAAAAAAAATTCAGTTAATTTACTTTTTCTATAAGTGTAAACTTTGTTTGAGCCTCTCTGTAAGAATATTAAACCCCAGCATTTAATTCACATATTGCTAAAATTAAAAAAAAAGGAAAAAAGGAGCAATTATATCTAAATATATTCCTCTATATTATAAATAATGCTCAAACTCTTTAAAGCTGTTTAGGCATCAGGAACACCCTTCAGACTCAGACTATTTCACCAAACACTTCACAGACACATGTAATATCTAAATTGTGTATACTGTCCATTGTATTTCTACTAGATTGCTGTATAGATTTCCTTGAGAGTTTTACTTTTACTATTTATTTTAAATTTAAAATTAGAAGTAATACTGGAGTCATCAGAGTTAAGCCTGTAAGCCTTTTTAAATAAAACTCTCCAAGTTGTTTTTAATTGCAGAAAAATATCAAAACCTAAAAATATTAATGATAATATTGACTTAATTAATGATTAAGTATCAAAGATACTTAAGATTCTCTGTAGCAAAGATATGGAGAATTTCTTGAATGAAACTCTCACATGGTCTTTTAAAGATCCTGAGTTTTTAGATGATATAGAGTTTAAAATGCTTTTTAAAGTTGATTTACCAAACAATACCACTTCAGTACATGCCATGGATAGTATATCAATTTATCAGGGCTTGAAAGGTGTATTTTATTTTACAAAGTTCACATCACAACAAGAATTCTGAACATATACCTGCTCAATGTGCAGTAACAAATATTCGTTCCCCCAAAATCCAATTTTCAGTGTTTCTGCTCTGGCACTAAAGGAGATGTTCATGAGTGAGGCCACCAAGCAGCCACTTAACAATGTCTCATGATTTACAAACAGGCCACAGCTTTCACTTTGCTAAATACTTAGGTGTGAAGGTGTTTCAATGACAAACTTAGTAAGGGTTTTAGAATCTTAGCAGATCCAAAATATCTTCATCATTGATTTATAGACAATATTAAGATTCTAATTTTGAGAACAGGCTGACAGTGACCAGAGGGGAGAGGGGAGGGAATTTCAGGGGAAAAGGGGAAGGGTTTGCAGGACCAAGTATAAAGGACACATGGACAAAAACAAGGGGTGGTGGAAACAGGAGGGAGGTGGGGAGAACTGGGGGTGTGGGCTGGGATGGGGGTAAAGGGCAGAAAGCTGTTCTTGAACAACAATTAACATTAAATTAAATTAAAAAAACTCTGATAGGATGGACAAAAAATTATTCTAACTCTGAACATCACTATTAGCTGATATTTGGTAAAGTGGATGAAATTTGGAAAAAAAAGAAACTCTAATTCTCTAACTAAATCCACCCAGAATAGGGTCCTTTGTCATTTTGAAAAATACGACAGGAGAAACCCTTACTGCCCTTGTTGTGTCTAGAGTCCTTTTTGAGAGTGTTCAAACATTTGATCAATCCAACTGTTTTTCACATACTACTAAGAAGTGTTCTAAAAATGCATTTTTTCTCTATATGCATCGGCACTACCATTTACTTTCTGGTACTATCTTTTATTATCCTTTTTAATTTTATTTTCCTTTATTTAACAGTATGACTTTTCAAAGACTGGTACTTGTGTTTTAATATGTGGTGTCCCTTTTAAAAATTGCCTTATCCATATTACTTCTGGTCTTGTACAAGTTATTCAGGACTCTTTTCTTCTCATATCAGACTAAATATTTCTATGTTTTCAATCAATTATAAAATTTCAGTGACAATTTCAGTTGTATTTCTCTTGAGTTCCTCCTCCCCCATCTCCCTGGGAAAATTAACAGTGGCAAGTTTTTTAGGCATGAACACAAAAGCCTTCTCTAAGAATTTAAATACCCAGTATATTATCTGCTTTGTTCCCAATATCCTCCCTGATGGCAAGTTTTACAACCATTTTGGCTACAACAGAATAGTGGGGTGATGTTTCTAGTCAATGAATTCACAATAATTTAGTAAGGTCTTTTTATGACTGAGCAGGAAGCAACTGCAAGGATTTTCAGTCCACAAGAAAGGATCTCCCAGTAGATGTTCAAGTGTATTTCACTCAAATCAAAGGTAATTTCTAATGACACAGCCCCTGAATCCCATCACTGTTTGCTGTGTTTCTTAAATGTGTGAGATGACATTCATCTCAATAATCTTAACCTCTATGTCCAAGAACTTTACCACAAGAAACCCAGTGTCCGAAACCAAAGAAAAGTCTGCCCTAAGCCCCAGCATCATTTTATATGCATATTGGATACAATATTTACCTTTCCTGACTACTTTTATACATATGTAAAAGTGTTCTAAAATTATTCCTGCCATATAAATCTAAATGTTTCTGACTTGGAGAATTCAATGTCACCTAAAATTTTTGATAATTTTTATAATTCTGCATTTTTATAATATAACAACATAAGAACTAAAAATCTGTAAGAAACCTGGATTCTTCTTGTTCTATTTTTCCTTTTTATTGCATTTATTGAGGTGACACTGGTTAACAAAATTATACAGGTTTCAGGTGCACTATTCCTTAACACATCATCTGTATACTGTTTGGGTATTTACTACCCCAAGCCAAGTTCTCTGTCAGTCACCATTTATCCCCTGTATATCCTCTTCCACCTGCTCCCATGCCTCTCCCCCTGGCATTCACCAC